TTAAATTTTCAAAATCAGCCAAACATGGTTAAGTGCTTACACCTAGCTCAGTAATCTGTGTAAAAGCAGAAGCATCCAAGATCATCAGTATTATTACTTAAATGGAAGGGTGGGGGGTGGGAGGCGATTTGCACCAGGGAAGCAGAAAAAAAATGCTCCAAATATTCACACTGAAAGGTTACGAAGATTCATGGTTTTTTGGGATGGTTTTAAAGGCCTCTTCTCTGCCAAGCTTAGAAAGGGGGAAAAACGTTCAGTAACTTTAATGAAGGGTGCATCATTAGGTGCGGGTAGTAAATTTTTGTTGGAGCAATATAACCCTCCTGTCAAAGCAGAGTTGATCTATCCATAAAGCTAAAGAAAGATTGGGCCTGCTACTACGGAACAAGTTGAGGTAGATTGTGGGTTTCTTACCAGGATCTGGATCCAGGGCAGCCAGCTCACTTTCCCATTGGAAAAAGTGAACAAGAAGTTTATAAAGTACCCAGGCAAAATAGAAATGCCCCCTGTTGAGAAGATCCAGCTGTACATCAAGCTTCTCAATGCTTTCTTGATTTACCTTCTCAAATAAATAGACATGGTTGAAGGGTCTATGGAAACAAAACATAATAATGTGTTCTTCGGAGACTGAAGGTTGTGGGGCATTTTTTAGTTGTTTGTGTAATAAGGTAAGATGTTCCTTTGTATATTGACATCTTTCTCATCCCTGAAACTTTAGAGAAAATGGATAAGAAGGAAAGAGAGAAAGAGCATGCTTGTGTAATATGTCATTTATAACAGCAAATGGTGCAATTTACCATCAAAGAAGGATCATTTGGATAAACAGTGCGTGGGCACATTTACCGACTAATAGTCACCATTTATAACATTTTTGGCAAATAGGAGTTTGTGGGAGTTTTATATTTGGACTGCATGAACACTCAATAATATATTGCTGGTCTTTTACCAAAATAATGGTAGTTGTCCAACCTATTTCATTCAGCAGATTCTACTTTGAAAAAGAATGCCTTGTTTGAAAAAGATGGTATATTTTCCTATATCTTTTCTTTTCTGGATGTATTTTGTCAGGTATTGCTATCTGTTCTTTTTCAGTTAGGCAAGAGTATGTGTTCATATTTAACAATTAGGATAGCTGAAGATATCTTCCATTTGTGTGTACAGCAGGAAGAACAGTCAGCAAAGTTGGATGTACTTTTGTTTTTATATAGGAGGTAAGAATGATTTAGAATTTCTTGATAACTGTTTTCTCTCACTTACTGGGTTGTGGTGATGCTTCTGTACCTTTTTACAGTTAATCTGGGAGAAATATATTTAGACAGGGTGGATGGATGGATGGATGGATGGATGGATGGATGGATGGATGGATGGATGGATGGATGGATAGTCTAATTTGCAGATACAGATGAACAGCAAAAAGTCATTGAGTGTTTCTGTATGTGTTTATTTTGATCAGATTCCACAATGGTGTGTATGTCTTGATGCAAATTGGATTCCTAGGCAAGGGGTAAAGAGAATATTTAAACATGGTACAATCACGTCCTTCAGCTACCTTGACTTAAATAGATACTGTATTATCCAGATCAGTTTTAGATTAGCCCAAAGAAACTCATTCATACCAGGTTATGCAATAACTTCTGAAAAACCATCCTGTTTGTGTTTTTCTCTCTAGACCCTGGTTTCTGTATATGTGGAAGAAAGAATATGGGCTTATTTAAATTGTGAAGTATCTAAAATAGAACTGATTAAAATCTCAATATATCTTGCTTGAACTGGATTCTGTATTATGCCAAGGAATTGTATGATGTGTTAAGAAACTGATTACTAAAACTTAATGTGGATCCTTTCTTTTTCCTACTCTTTAATCTGGATCTCTTGTATCATTATTGTTTTCTGTGTTAACAGACCATGTAACAGTCTTTAATGAGTCAAGTGTCTCAAAGCGTTTTTTTCAGATGAATCCATCTATATTCTGTTACATTTCATAGGTATTCTGTAATAAATCTGAATTTAAACATGTGCACATACAATGCATAGACACAACATAATTCGTGTTATTTTTGTATGAAATTTTTTCCTAACTTACATATCTTCTACATCAGTTTCCCCTAGTAAATTATTCTTTCTTGCACGCCTACTTCATATCCACTAGCAACAAAGCTTTTCCTAACTAGCTTTGTCTTTTCTGCACTTCTACTACTTCCAAGCATTTCCCCATCATTATGTTGTATTCCAGTAACTGCAGTGGTAGTCTTTCTAAATGCAAACATTTGTCTGTCAGTCTCCGTGTTATATTACCTAGCAGTAGCCATCGCCAAGAAGTAATTCATAGAAAATTATTTTACACTTCATAGTTCCTGAGAAGAGAGAGAAGAAAATGTCGTGGTTTGGAAAGTGGTCGTTGTTTTGGGTGGTGGGAACAATGCAATAGATACAATGTGCCATGCTTTTAGCAGAGTAATAAGCTAAACTATATTGAGTAAATACATCATTCTTTGTCAATATTTAATCACATATTTTATAGCATACTAGCTGCAAGATAGAAATCTACATGGATGCAGTAAGTTCCATCCAGTAAGGATGGTATGAAGTCCTATTTCATAATACTGGAGTGAATACCTGAGTGGAGTGAAAGCCTGAAATCATTGATTAGAAAGGATACCACTGAATATCTGGGAAGAAGGGAATTTACCCAAGTTATTTGACAAAGTACAGAATGACTATGCCCCCATCCCCACCCCAAATTTCATTACAGAAGCCAGCCAGACTGGACTGATTCTTAGCAGCAGTGAGATACAGTTTGCCATCACACTAAGAGCATCAGGCTAGGTTAAGGGGCTCAGAATCTACACAAAGGGAAGGATGATTAAGGAGCTCAAGGAAGAACTGGCAGACTGCTGTTGGCCAACTCACATCTGGTACTTAAGGTGATTCTCTCATTCCACCTAAGGGTACAATCAGCCCTTATTTTTCATCTATAACACAAAAGGCATTAGCTGTGCTCAATTAAGAGAGAAAAGAGAGAGGCAAAAGTATTTTGTAAGTTATTATTATGGGAATTGATGCTTCTACAATTAGTTAAGCAAAATCAGGCCAGTACTAAAGTACTGTCTACATGATGATGGTATCTCTAAAGTAAAGTAAAAATGAGGAGTTTCTTAAAGTGGAATTTGCATTCATTGTTTTCTTTCTTAGCAAATATTTCACTATAGTCACTTGTTTCCTTTAAGTCAATAGAAGTTATTGCTAATGGAACTAATTTTGGTCTCTTAGGTTTTGAAATTAGAAAGTACTTTTTCTTTGCTCAGCCTCTGATACTGTCAAACCAAGAACCATCCCAGATATTTCAACAATTTGTGCTTCCTTGCTTCTCATATCTCCAGTCCTTGACCAAAGAGGAAATAACACATTTCAACACCAAAAAACCTCAGAAAAGTGCTAGAAAGCACTGAGACTTTTAAAAATTATTTACAGACGTTTTTCAGATTCTTTAAGGCAAATTGTCTGTATATTATGCACATATTCATTATAAGAATTCTCCCACTGGCACTCATTGTAAACAGTGAGGAAAAAAATATGTTTTAAGACATTTGACATTAACAAAAAATTGTGGAAATTTGTACTGATCTTTTTCCCTCCTCAGGATTTGCTCGATTTTAGCAAATTTGTTTTGGTATGTTAAACTGAAACACGCTTTATAAAGAAGCAGTTTTCCTGTCCTCCCATTATTTTTAAAAACCAGTAGAGAAATTAACCATATAACAATTTAAACTGGAAACAGACTAATCTTGTTAAATACAACTGTTTTAATAGCCTTTCAGTAATTAATGATGTAAAGGTATTTCAAAACAAATAATACTGGGTTTTTTTCTTTGTATTTTAAAGTAATCATTGTTACCCACCACAGGAATTTTATTTCAAAATAAAGTTACTAAATATTATTAATAAATCAATATGACTTGGATTCAAAGACACCCTCTAACAGAAAGCATCTTCTATTCACTGACAGGCCATTTCCTTCCAAGTAGAGAGCAGGGAATAAGAAAATTATTCCAAATGCAGAAAGGTTATTCCATTTACACAACTTTTTGTGCAAGAGTTTTTATTATTATTATTATTATATACTAGAGGTCATAGGTTACAACTTGCAAATGTCTTACTTGTCATTTTTGCCATATCATAAAACAACTCTGAATACACTGTGGTTATTCAATTACAAAGAGCATTCTGCTAGTACTTGCGCAAGAATTCAAGAACAGTGCAAATACATTTTCTCCTTCTGCTCATGGTTTTTAAGATCCAAGTATAGTGAATCCCATTAGGCAACAAATCAGATTTTAAGTGGTATGGTGTGGTTGTATCAAATCCCCATGTTTGAAATTCTATGACATTGTATTGAGTTACATTTTTCTCAATTTGTTTTTAGCTGTGCCTGAATGTGCTGTACATAAAATACTCGAGCCACTTTGGTGTGTTTCTGTAAAACCATCAATCATTTTTTTCTAGCACTTTTTGGTTTACTTTTTTTATTTCTTTTCATTTTTAACTATCTATCCATTTAGATGTAATCCAGAGAGTGGGAAGAGAGAGGCTCTTTGTTTCTTTCTTACCGCAGTCTTCAAGTATCAAAAAGAGCTGAAAAGCTACTGTATTATCATAGAGTCCTATGTTTTATTTCTTTATCATGCTAGAAAACATTGCATAAAACTAAAAATTTCTTGAGGTCATAAAGTATGTTCCTCTTTAATAGTGAACTGCTTAAAACCTGTTAAGATGATTTATAAGCCAGATATTTGCATCATTTATACATAGGCAGCACAGTTTGCTAAGGACTATGGGCATGATCCAGTATTTAAAATTAAGCATTTTTCAACCCACAGATGCCACGGACAGAGATAATGTAATGGAGCTAGAATGCTTAACTGTCACGCACACAAATCTTTATAACACATTCAGACAATCACTTGTATGCTTCATTTTAATACTGTTTCCTTTTGTTGCAGAGGTTGAAGGCAGCTTTGACTCATCATCCTGCAGGCATCTCCAATGGAAATATGAATACCATGGGTCATATGATGGAAATGATGAGCTCCCGTCAAGACCAACCAGCCCACCATCATATGCACTCACATCCACATCAACACCAGACACTTCCACCCCATCACCCATACCCCCATCAGCACCAACACCCAACACACCATTCTCATCCTCAGACTCATCACCAGCAGAATCACCCACACCATCATTCTCACTCACATCTCCATGCACACCCAGCACATCATCAGACTTCGCCACATCCGCCACTGCACACAGGCGGGCAAGCACAGGTAGAGCTTTCTAACATCTTTTATGTGAAGATGGATATTTAAAACAAGAGTTTGTTGCAGTTTTTATGCAGATTTTAATTCTCCTATGACATTCTTGTAATTGAAGATGTTGCCATTTCCTCTTTATATCAAGTTTTATTTAAAAATTAATCAAGATGGGCATATATTATAGGTCAAGATGGGCATATATTATAGGTCTTGAGTAGTCTACCAGACGATTCAGACTGGACAATCTTACCCAATGTTGCAAGAGAAAAGACCAACAGAGCAGAAGGAAAGAAGGAATAACATACTCACTTTGCTTTGCTTTCCTTCCCTGAGTATTTTATTACTCAGCTGATACCTCATTCTTGAAATAAGGAAGAATTTATTGATTATGTGCTACTTTGGAAGCATATCAGGGAGCCAGGAAGACTGTAGATGTCTCTTTGTGACCCTTCTCCTACATTGGAGTTCAAAATAATTAGTCCTAGAACTTCCACAGTAAGCTGGGAGATGGTTTCCAATGTCAGACTGCCCCTTCCACGGGAAAATCTCTCTCTCTCTCTTTCTCTTTTTCTCTCACCTCAGAGGTGCATGCCTTTCTCAGGACCATAGGATTGCAGCCTAAAATTGATGAAGGTGTGAGCTCTTTTATTTGATTTTACATTTTTCTGAGTATATAAGAATGCCCCTTTTGTACCATATTTTGCCAAAGAATCTTGAGTTACTTTTTCATATTATAAAGTTATACTGCATGCTTTATGTAGCAGAACTCCTTATTGTAGGATACATAAATGTTGCCCACTGCATACTTATATTTTTGTTACGGAGAACCACCACCAGCAGTTTGCTGCTCCAAAAACGGTGCAGAAGCTCAAGTATATATTGCTGCAAAATTTCTTAAAGTGCATGGTATTGTATGAGTGCTGAATTTGGCCATGTATGTTATTTGTTTTTTATATACCATAACAACCTGCCTGCCCAAGACCATGTTAAAAATATGATTTAAAAGAAAAAGAAAAAAAAGGAAGGGCTTGGAAAATTATAAATGATCTGCCCCCTCTCCCCATTATCCAATTGCTTGACTGTCCTCTTCCTTGCTCCTTTGCTAGAAGAAAAAAGAAGCTAATTAAAATGTTGATAGATTGTGTGTGTGTGTGTGTGTGTGTATACACAAGATGTTCTGCATCTCAGATACAGATTTACCCTTCCAGTGTTGTATAATAATTATTTGGCTATCTGCCACATGCAAGAAGTCCATAGTTCTTAAAGTCCTGATAGAGTCCAAATAATGGAAGTATTCATACTTGTTTGAATGTCTGGATGTTGAAACTCTTTTATAGTAATGTTGAAGTGCTGTAATTCTAAGGTACTGTGCAACACTCCTTTGAGGGAAGGGTGCTATATAAATAAAATGAAGTAGTAAAATAATATTTAGGTCTGAAGTTAAGACCAGGAATTTTCTTTGCACCCCCATTCAGTACTCTGCACGGTGCAGAGTGGCTTTGTGGAATAGTTGAATCTGTATAGAAACAAATCTAAATGATTTCCCTAGAATTTAAATCTACCTATACGTATTTGGGATGGCAGCCTTGGGAGTAGGAGGTACCCCCCCACCCCCACCCCAGCTGCCCACGCTGAAACAATTGTTATTCCTTCTTGGATAAAAACACCTTTGTGATTTAACACTCACACTCTGGCATATGAAGCAAGAGAAAAAGCGGCCCCATTGCTTTTAGAATCATTCCAGTGTTAAGCGTGATTTTTTCAAAAACTCTGCCTGCTGCTTGGAGGATAAATGGAAATTTTAAGATCTATAGGTCAGGTAGTTCCCTAGACAACGGAACAGTTTGAATTCCTCATGGGAACGCAAAAGCAATGACACTTTTTGAAGAGGGCATTGCCGGGGATAAAAGATGGTTTGAGTGAGTAATAAACATAAGGTTATTACTTTCCAAACCCATCTATAATTCCCCTCAGTACTGGCCCCTTTGAGGGTCAGACTGCTTCAACAGACACATTAATCTTATGGTACAGTTTACTAATTATTAACCAACTCTTTCTATTGAACCAAATTCTTAAGTTTCAGGGTTCATGTCAAAACCAAAGCATGTTGCTAGGAGCGACATTCCCCTTTTGCCATAATTTTGATTATTTTATACCATGCCCCTGTATTAAATTTCAAACTTTTCAACATCCATGTGGAACCTAATGAATTATGTCGTATAAATGAATGACTACAAATGTAGCACTAGGTTGTAAAGAATAGAAGGAACACGCAGGATCAGGGATCAAGGCAAAATCGAGCCGATTTTTACTACATCCTTTTTTATTGTTCTGCTTTGTATTAGATGGATTAACTCACATATTGCATACATTGTTGAAGTTTTTGGTTTTTAGGTAGAGATATCTCAGAAGAATTTCTAGGCAGGAATTTTTAAGTAAAGCAGGTTGTTATATCAGATTTCTCTTTATTGATTATATATATGTTTGCACTGATTATAGATTATCCCAAACAAACATACATAATTAATAACACTTCTGCAACACACATATAATAGTAATAAACTTGTGTATAGGTTGATGCAGTGATCCAGATCCAGAAGGAAAAAGGTGATTTAGAATTCCTGTAGGCACACACATTGCACCCATAGACATCACAAATCAAATGTGTCCTTTCCTGGGACTGCATGAAAAAAAAAAGGCTGCTTTTAAACTAATTTACCAATAGGTGCAATGTGTATGCCAGGGACGATCCCTTACAGAACCAAACTGAAGAAACATACAGTCAGATTGAAAGTATCCATTTGATCTTAAGAATTTGTTTTGAATTCCAGTACAGAACAGAGCTGTGTTCCAAAATAAAATGCATTCCTAGTTATTTTTCCTGACCATTCCTCATTTTTGCATCATAATTTGTACATATCTTTGATTAGTATCACCCTGATACTAATAAAAGTGAGTTTAAAATCAACGGATGGCTGCTTCTTGAAGAAAAGAACCAGCAGCCAGGGTCAAGCACATTCTTTGATAAAACTTATTTAAGGCATATTGGGCCATATATCAGCATGACTATAAACCACTGTTCACCATTATGGTTAGCCCAAGTCATAATTAAGTCCAAAGGATTGTTAGGTCCCCAGGAAGTTATTAACATTAAAGTTTGTTTATGATAATATTGTTTATGATAATATTTAAGTCCCATTTCTTCATAGATCTTGTAATATCAAATAGAAAAATGTGCAGTATCTGAGAAATATAATAGAATTTAATAGACTTCATTCTACAATTTCCCTGGTTGGATTTTTTAAAATTAACAATCCCACCTGACTTAGTTTGTTTCATCTTAATCCTGCCATTATTCCAAGTTTAGAATCAGAAGGAATCCCATACAAATGAGTTGCAACTGACTAAAAGTTATGCCTTTTAATAAAATTTGTTTCTCAGAAAAGGTGCTACTGATTTTTTGTAACTGTAGACTAGCACAGTTCTCCTCCTATAACTACAATGAGAAGCACCAAGCTTAGAAGAAGATATTTAGCATTCTCAAGTTGTTTCTGTCCAAATATTGAAAATACAGCAGTCTGGATTTGATCTGCTTAGCTTAGAAGTACTACATCAGGCGCTCGCTTTCTCTTTCTCTTTCTCTTTCTCTCTCTCTCTCTCTCTCTCTCTCTCTCTTTTTAGTTTTAACTGTGTCTTTCAAGTTAACATCTTTCCAATAATCTCTAACATCTTTCT